CCCCGTGTGATCTCACAGGCGTGTGCCTTTCTTCTCAGGTAACCTTGTATCCAGCTGTGAAAAGCCTCCTGCAGGAGGGCATCTACCTCATCCTGGACCTCTGTATTGAGCCGGATGTCCAGTTCCTGCGGGCCTCACTCCAGCCAGGAGCAAGAGATGTATTTAAGGAGCTGTACAATGATTATCTCAAGTACCACAAGGCTAAACATGAAGGAGAGAAAAGATACGCTGTCTAAGGCCATCAGTGGCCTTTACGTGAGCTGAACAAGGTGGAGGAGGAGACTTGGGATCTATATGCAAAATCCTTTGGGGTTTATGTATTATATTTTGATGCAATTTATGCCATGTCTTTCTTACTGAATAGTTTTTGCTCTATATTTTTATGTATTAAGTATTGCAGTAGAATCCTGAAATTTAGCATAATCCTGGAATAATGAGATGGATCCAGTAGAAAATTGCTAACTGTATTGTAACCTTTCTATATGTGGTTCTTGTCTTTTTTTTTTTTTTAATTTGATTTATTTATTTTTATTTTTTGGGACAGAGCCTCAAGCTATCCCCCTGATAGAGTGCTGTAGCATCACAGCTCACAGCAACCTCCAACTCCTGGGCTCAAGCGAGTCTCCTGCCTTAGCCTCCCCAGTAGTTGGGACCACAGGCGCCCGCCACAATGCCTGGCCATTTTTTGGTTGCAGCTGTCATTGTTGTTGGGCAGGCCCGGGTTGGATTCGAACCCGCCACCTTAGGGGTATGTGGCTGGCGCCTTAGTACTTGAGCCACAGGTGCCGAACCTGGTTCTTGTCTTGATTCAAGACACTTGTTTGGTGTACCCTCTCCCCACTAGGAGCTTTGTAGAACTTATTTTTTTTATGTAAGGTACATGAGTATATAATTAAGCTCTATTTAATGTTCTTGACTTTAAAGTAACATGGGAAGCATTCTCCAAAGTATCACTTTTTCTGCCTGCCTTCTGAGTAAGCTCTCTGATCAAGCTGAGGGAAGCCAGCGCCTGGTGCCTGAGGTGTCTGGTCTGGGCAGGGACAGAGAGTGGCCCTGTCAGGTAGTAGAGGCTCTTTAACAATGGTGCTGGCTCCTGCCTGGTCTTCTGCTTTAGCTCTCTCTGACATTTCTTCTGGAATTTTTCTTTTTCTATTCAATTTAAGAAATAATTTTACTTGTTTTTTCTTATTACCTAAGCAATATATTTTTACTGTAGCAACTTCAGAAATAAAAGATAAAAAACCTTTTAAAAATTCAAAGTCAGAGCTACCCAAGTGACCTCTGTTGTCACCTTGGAGCGTCTTGTCTCCCCCGCTGTACTGTGCATAAATATGTATGGAGATATGTATATAAATAAATATATGCTGGCCAAATTGGATCATAGATTTTTTTTAAATTTAGGGTTCCCTAACCTTTTCCCTTCGTAGTATTTCTATAACGCTATTGGGTGAATCAATGAGACATGGACACTTTTAGTGGCTGTGTGGTAGTCCATTGACTAGATAGCTGTTTTATTTATTTTTATTTGAGTCCTCCATAATCAAACACTGGGATATTTGCAAATTTTCTTTGATGTATGGTGCCTGAAGCTGAATTATTTCCATAAGATGAATTCCCATGAGTTGTACTGCTTATGAGAAAACCGTGCCAGCTTTAAAGGATTTACATAAATACTACCAAATTTCCCTCTAGAGAGTATTCTATTTTCTCCCTAGTGAATCAACTATTAGTATTTATTTATTTGCAGTTTTTGGCTGGGGCTGGGTTTGAACCCACCACCTTTGGTACATGAGGCTGGCGCTTATTTAATATTATTGATTTTTATTTTTTAATGCTTCCTCGATAGGAGGAAGGTGGTATTTTGTTTTGAGTTTCTTTAGTTTTAAGAGAGTATATATTTTTCATATCTGTCATTTACATTTTTAACATAGGCTGGGTGCAGTGGCTGACGCCTGTGATCCTAGCACTCTGGGGGGCTAAGGCAGGTAGATTGCTTGAGGTCAGGAGTGCGAGACCATCCTGAGCAAGAGAGAGACCCCATCTCTAAAAATAGCCCAGCATTGTGGCAGGTGCCTGTAGTCTCAGCTACTCAGGAGGCTAAAACAAGAGGATCACTTGATCCCAAGAGTTTGAGGTTGCTGTGGCGCCATGGCACTCAAACCCAGGACAACTGAATAAAAAAAAAATGTTTTTAATGAATTTTTTAATAAATTATATTTATGTAATTATCTTTGTCCTGTAATAATTAGCCTATTTCTCATTTGCTATTATTCTTATTTGCTAACTTGATAGAATTCATACCCCTTCTTAAGTCAGTCAGAATGTAGACTTTTTTTTTTTTTTTTTTTTTGAGATGGAGCCTCAAGCTATCCCCCTGGGTAGAGTGCCATGGCATCACGCTCACAGCAACCTCCAACTCCTG